CCCAGGACAGTGAAAGATCCTGTCTCAGAAGATAATGGAGATGGTTCCCAGGGAACAACATTCAAGGTTGTCTTCCTACCTCTCCAAGCATGCACACATATATATCATACACGTGCCTATGCAAGCACACATACACAGAGAGAGGGAGGAGGGAGAGAGAAAGAGAGCAAGATCTGCCTTGCTGCTCATAAGCAGACATGATGGCTCACACCTAATGTCCTCATACTCAGGAGGCTACAGCACGAGGGTTGTTATGGGTTTGAGGCCAGACTGGCTACATAGTGAGCTCTGTCTTTAAAAACAAAAAAATAGGTGCATTGAGTATATTCATGTAAACTTTTAAGGAGTTATGATTTCATTAGTTAGCTTTCTCAATTATTACCCCTTCATTTCCAGGGATACACATTCAGTCTACACCAGAGAATTACTTTTTTTCTGCACCTAAAGTAGAAGGGCGCTCACTGCAGAGTGAGTCAGCCTCTGGGTTCACAGGATAAAAGGAAGGAAGCTGCTTCTAAACTCTCAGTTATTCCTAGAAAAATGGAGCAGAGCAAACGTTCGCGCTGCACTATTCGGAGTATGACTTATCCAGTCCACCTTATCATTATCTCTTGGATCTGCAGCCAACAGCTACACCTCCAAGTCATCCATCTATCCCATTTTCATTATAATCGTGATGACTCATAATGAATGGATACCCTCATACTTCCATTCATTAAACTGTCCACATGCCGCCTGCACATGTAAGCTGCCAAGTCCAGGCTCACATCCCCCTCAACCAGTCTGTAGTTCCCTATGCAGTATTTGTTAACACACACACACACACACACACACACACACACACACACACACACACAGAATTCTTTTGAGAGCAAATTTTCTCCAGCACATTGGGAGAGCAGATGCTGTGGAAATGCTACCAAGTTGCAGAGGCTCTGCGCATCCTTACATTCTGATGCCAGCCTTGCCTGCCTTCTGCAGGTCCATGCTTTCTCCCCGGACTGAGAAGTTAGGCCTTCCTCACATCAACTTTTCAGAATGGCAGATCAAGTTTTCAATATCTGCAGTGCAGGTTTCTCTCTTTGGGAAGAAGTGGACCTGGCAGATACCTTGTGATCTGAACTTCGGATTGGGGGAGAACTAAAGAAAGCCATAGAGCTGAGATCCAAAAAAACAAAACAGAAACAACAGAGTTATTCTATGAGACTCAGGGGAAGAGATGCTCTCTGACCCTGTTTTCTATGCATGCTTCCATTCTTCCTAGACCTTTCTTTTCTACTGCTACCCTTTCTTCCAATTTTATCCTCTTCCTGTTTGGTTACAACCGAAGTTTATTTGAAAAGTTTTCTATGTTTTGTTGAAATTAAACACCAATTTAATTTAACCCAATTAAAAAAAAATGGGTACAGAGCTAAACAGATAATTTCAACAGAGAAATCTCGAATGGCAGAGAAACACTTAAAGAAATGATCAGTATCATTAGTTGTCAGTAAAATGCTAATTAAAAATGACTCTGATATTTCATCTAACACCTGTCAGAATGGCTAAGGTAAAAAACCCAAATGACAGCACATGCTGGTGAGGATGTGAAAAGGGGAACAGTCCTTCATTGCTGGTGTGAGTGCAAACTTGTACAACTGCAAATGTGGCACTTTCTCAGAAAACTGGAAGTAGTACTACCTCAAGACTGAGCTATACCACTTCAGGTATATACCCAAAAGATACTCTACCATGCCACCAGGATATTTGCTCAACAATGTTCATAGAGGCCTGTTCATAATAGCCAGAAACTGGAAACAACCTAGATGTCCCTCAGCCAAAGAATGGATAAAAAAAAAAAATGTGGTACACTTGCAAAACGGAATACTACTCAGGTATTAAAAACAAGGAAATCATGAAATTTGCAGGCAAAGGGTTGGAACTAGAAAAGATCATCCTGAGTGAAGTAACCCAAACTCAGAAAGACACACATGGTATGTGCTCACTTAAAAGTGGATATTAGTCATAATTACAGGTTAACTTATATTACTAATCACAGACCCAAAGAAACTAAGTAACAAATATGGTCCAAGAGAGTCCACCCTTGAAATAGAATAGACAGCAGAAGAAGAAATATAGAAGGTGTGGGGAGGGAAACAAAGGCAGGGATCAGATCTGGGGAGAGTATGGAGGAGAAGTCTGAGGGCCTGGAGAGAAAAAGGAAAACCGAGGTAGGAACATCATTGAGACAAGGAGTTTTCTTTGTAATGAACTTTACTTAACCCTGATTGGCTCTGTACCACATCCTTGCCAACTTGCAAGGACCACTCTTGCCTTTTCAACACTGGACGCTCAAACAGGACAAAGCTCTCCAAATCAGGCCTGTTTGTTTACTGGAAAGCCTGTGAATTGTTCCAGTGCAGTTTGCCTGAAAACATTCCTCCCTCTCCATCTCCCTTTTAAATCTCTTTCCTTTTTCCCTCCCTTTCTTTCTCTTCCGTTCTTCCCTTCCTTCCTTCAGTCATATTCTTCCTTCCCCACTACATAATAATAATAATAATAATAATAATAATAATAATAATAATAATAAT